AGGGAAAGGGGGGAGGGACAAGCTAAAACAAACCCACAAAAACAAACCCCCTTACGCTGCCCTCCAGGAATTTTCCACCAAAGCTCTAATCTCTGCAGTGCCCCTCACCCCCTTTCTTTTTTTCCAGCCCGAGTGACAACAAAAGTTTCCTGAACTCCCTGACACAAAACACAATCCACAAGGTCACGGGCAAACAGGGCTTCAACAGGCAAAGGCAGAGCCAGGCTTTTGCTACCAAAACCAGCCCATTCACCACCACTCTCCCAACTCCAAACCTCCCTGGCCATGCCTGGCAGCGTCTTCCAAGAGATTCATCTCTGGTTAATCCGCCAAGGATAGTCCAGAACCTGCCCCAGGGAGGGACAGCAGGATTTGCTGGAGGGCAATGGTAATAATAATAAGAAATAATAATAATAAAACAACAAACAGGGACAGAGTAATTCCAAAGTTTACTGGAGTGGCTGTAAGCTGTACTCTCCATCCATCCCAAGACCTGCAGCCCCCAAGAGTTGGCCCAAGCTCCCCACAGACCACTTGTGACAAGTTGTTGTTTACTGAATGGCAAAGCAAGGAAGGCCACTTTCCCTGGACTTCTGTGTTCTTCCTAAACACCAAGGAGCTTCCAATGTCTAGGAAGGGTTTGGTTTGTATGACGTTGCCCTCAAAGCAATAAGTGAGTCTTTCTCCTCTACCTAACCGTAACTTCTGTCGATACTTTTTGCAGCACAGTCTTCTGAGTCCATCAAACACAGGTTTAAAAATTCCTAGTGCTGCAAGTCCAGCTGCATCATTATGAAAGTCACATTTCTCAGGAAGTCAAGCTACTCATCTCTGCCAGAAGTGACCTTTTGCATGTCTCCCAACATAGAAAAGCAAGAAGAATCCAATCCCTCTCAGTAACTGCTTAAATTTAGCCGATCTTCAGAAATACCCAACCATCAACTTAAGAAGCCAAGAACTAAAACTGGTGTAAAACTGGGCTCCAGTTGCCCTGAATCATCTACTGAAGGGAAAAAAAAAAATAAAGAGAAGCTATTTCTTGTATTTGACTGTCAACTCAGCATCTTTGTTCCTCTATCTACTAAAAAGCCAACGCAAAAGAGCATTCTGAAGAGCATTTAAGGATTTTTAATCATAAAACATGAGTGTTACTTGTCAAAAAACCTCAAAATATACATCTGCGCCATCACTGCTACAAAATAAGGTAAGAAAATTTCTCCCTATATGAGCAGGAGATGATGTTTTCTGCTGCTGGAGTGTGAAAGAGCACGACTTACGCACAAGCAGAAATACAATATTTCCTTGAACTAACGTATTTATATGCGCTTAAGTATTTTTTAACTCCTTTTAACAGTGTGTTTTTAGTCCAAGAGAGCCGCAGTTTCAGAGAGGCGATGACCAAAGGCTCAACTGTTCAAAACAAAAACCCCCACACCATGGTCTGAAGCAACTTCTGAGCAGGAGAACGATTTGCATCATCGGTTGCAAAACCGACACTTCCCAGTCCTCTCCACGACAGCTTTGCAGAGGGACTGATCCCTTCCAGACTGAACCTCTTGCCCACTCTAATTACTGCTCCTGGGGTCTCCAAGCTGACTCGCAAGAAGGGTGGAGAACTTTGTTCCATGGAAATAAGCGGCCAGCTCAGCCAGTTCAGTCAAAATTCAAACAAGCTCTGGAGCTAACTGGATAATTAAATCCAAATGCCACTCCCGAGCCTTTCCAGCGAAAGGGGTGTCACAGGCTGCTCGTTCCCCATTTGGCTTGGTTTGGGTGAGGAGTGGGTGCAGGATGGACGGCTCTCCCAGGGACAAAATGCCAACCATCAGGAATGCCAGGCCCAAGGAACAGGCGAGATTACGGCTCTCCTTTTGTAGCCCTGGCAGGACACAAGTTTTCTTCAGCCTTGTGAGAAGGCAGCACTGAGACTGCACAGCAAACATCTCCCCAGGCTCTGCCACGGCTCCAGAACAAAACAGCCGCAAGCTGCACACCTCCAGTGGAGTATCCTCAGAGCTTGGACGGACTTGGAGACTCGTGGAAACCTTTTTGCAACGTGAGCAGGTTCTTGCTCCTGAAAAACCTTCTGGCCCAGCTTCGCTCTTGCACCGTTTTGTACAAATTCACTTAAGGTATTGTGGCTTGACAGGATGAATTGTTCAACGATGTCTGCTCTCCCCCCAGAACACATATAAACAGGATTATTTTTACCATGGAAGATCAGGAAAAAAAAAAACCCAAACTGATTACAGAGACAGCAAAAATGAAACATAAAAATAAATTGTGTTTAGTGCTGTCCCTCTGTCCCCGGTGTCTCTTCTTCCATCCTCAGTTCTGTCTTTATTTTCAGCTGTTTCTTTTAATAGTTTCTTCATTTCTTTCTTCCCTACTTCCCACCAACACCCCACTTTTGTGCTTTTTAAATCATCTCCCTGAGACAAAGCTTATTTGATCATGCTGCCAGCCCATCCAACCAAGGACCTCTTACAACCAAAAATAATAGATGTCTCAAAGATATTAATTTCCCAGAGGTTTGGGGGTGGGGGTGGGGGGGAAATATCCATGGCCACATTGGAGAGAGGAACACACAGAAGTAGTAAGCCAAGAGCACTCCCAGGAAGCAAGCGTGGCCAGTGGGGCTACAGTGGATGTGGGAAGGTTGGGTTTATATTTTTATTAAAGCACAACTCATCCGTTTTGGCAGGATCTTATATCAAAACCAGAACACCTCCTTCTCTCATCAAGTTTTCAG